GATGAACATGCTTGAAGCTTGGAGTTTGAGGGGTGGGGGGGCAACGGCAGCATACGTAACCTAAACATCTGTACCCCCATAATATGCTGAAATAAAAAAAAAAACCCAACATCCTAAAATCTTTCCCTCACTGACAACGCTATACATCATGTAACAAACATTACGTTTTTGCAGAAGTAGGCATAATGTTCTACCTCTATTTACCATCGATTTCAATAAGAACAAAGTTGTCAGTTTATATTTTTTAAACAGTCATTGCTCATTGATGTGATCAGTAAATCTATTATCCTTATGACTTTGAGCTAAAAATGATAGTTCTAACTCACAGGGATATTGTAAAGATCAAATGAGTTAAGAGATACAGAGGAATTGCTTCTTAGTGGGGACAGAAGAGTCAACATTATGCTTAAAATCCTCTTGAATTTCCATGTGTGGTACTCACGGTTTTATATTTACAGCATTTTGCAATTTACATTTTGAGAACCACTTAGTTAGACTGAAGAAAGAAATAAAAACAAACCCTGCATGGAGACGCTTGTGCATTAAAACCATTTGGTCTTTATGATAAAGATGATTTGTCAAGTCCCTGGCAGGGAATGGGGAACAGAGTGTGAGTAAAGGATTCTAAAGAGTTTGTCTTTAAATGCAGGATTTACTTCCATTCTGTGTTAATATTAAACTTCATAACATTAATCCACTTTAATAAATTTGTTTGTATTGTAAGGATTAAGGGAGATGGTGAGTCACATCTTCCAAGAGATTTAGTTCCAGAGTAAGCCTGAAAGTTAAACTTACATATGATGAGACTTCACTGCCTCAAAGTACTTGGCACAAAGTAGGAGATCAATAAATGTTTAGATACTTGTTTTTACTAATATATTTCTCTTCAAGACCAATTATAAGGAAATTAATTCATTTTTTATTAATTTATCAAAAATTTTGTTTGATACATTCTTTGTTTAGCTTTTAATTTATGCCAGCCCCAAGGCCAAGGGGTTACAAAATATCACAGTCCTCAAGAATCATAAATTCTAGTGGAGAAGATAAAGTTCCATAGACAGTTACTGGCCAGTGATTTAAGTGTGAGAAACGCCCACACATGCTGCTGTGGGAGCACTCCCAAGGCTATCTAACCCCAAATGGAGGGAGAGAAAAGACATTTAGGGGAGAAATACTTAAACTGAGTGTTGAAAAATGAACGGGTGTTATTGGGTTAAAGAGGAGTTGTGTGGGATGAGGGTGGCAGGACTAAGTGTCCCAGGCTGAGAGCCCACTCTGTGTGAAAGATCCAAGGCACCTCAGTGGGGATCAAGCAAACAACAGGAGATGGGGAGATGCATTTTTCTATCAGCT